GGTTGAGCATATGGTCTACCTTGTGAATGCTTTTAATTCTTTTCCAAAGAGCCAAGTTTTTGATATAATTTCCTGAAGTAAGAGGAACTTGATTTACCTTTTTTTTTTTAGTACAGGTTAATTTTTTCATTATCTCAATTCACCAGTTAGTCCATCCAGTTAATTTTTAAATTTCATATCTTATAATTTTCAGTTCCAGAATTTTCAATAGCTCTTATAATTTTTATTTCTGTGCAGAGTATATTGCCTTGCTCTTATTCATAAGAATCATTATAACAGTTACTTTATAATTCTTGATTGGTATTTTCAACATCTGGCTCATCTTGTGGTTGCTGTAGCTTGATTTTACTTTTTCTAGACAATGTGTTTCCTTTTTTTGGTTTCCATATGCCCATTAATTTATAAAGATTAAGCTGTGGAGATGCTGTATTTTGTTATTTATCAACACACAGGTGAAGAAACAAAACATTACAATGACTCATTATAATCAGAATTTGATGGCATGGAGAAAATTGTGGGAGGGAATGTAGTTGGGGACCTTGAGCAGACTGCTGACCTTGAGGAAAGGGTAAACCACTCAGCAGGCTATGGCCCAGTGTGAGAATCGTAAAGCCTTGGGAGGCTAGAATTTAAGTAGGCCTATTTGCAATGACCAGACACCAAAGAGAGGCAAACATAGTTCATAAAAACACATCTGTACCATGTACTGGTTATTTCACTGTTTGGTTTCCCTAAAGGTCTACACATTGGAGTCCAAGCTACTTAGTCCTCTGATCAGAGGAGGCAAGAATGCCTCTAGATGTGAAGTTTCGGGGCATCATTTGTTATTATAATTTCATTGAACACCTCTTATTCCAGCCTATCCCAAAAGACAAAAGAAGGAGCCTTGATGACAAGCAGAGAGAGAGATACAGAGGGGGAGCAGGAAACAGTGACATGGGGAAAGGGACAAAGTGAGAGAGTAGGAGGCATGAAGGGAATTACAAAACAGTGCCTAGGACTTTAGGACAAGGAGGCAGTTGGACCCTCAAGTTGAGCCTGAGCTTGATCTCTTATGTACCATTTCTGTTTGATAATGGATTGCTGCTTCTCATACCCAACCTCATGGCTAGGTGGGTCTCCAACACCCGGTTCATGATGGCAATCTCAGGGTGCAGGATCACCTGATGTCCCATAGTTAGGTGCTCAGTCTTTACCAAGGCCTCATACAAAGCCTATTCAAAAGGAGAACAGGTACCTACAGAAAACAGCATAGATTTGTCCAGAAATTTTAGAGGTCTGTGCAGTGTTTTTCCTTTTGGTGCTTGTCAGATGCTCCACGAAGCATCCCTATTTGCCATGGACAGTTTGAATGTCACTGGGTCTGCTTGGTCATAAACCCCACGTGCTAGATGAGCTCCTTCTGCAATCTGAATTTGCTTTCTTTGTTCTGGTCCCCATTTGAAACCTGCAGGTGACTCTGTAAATGGGTCAAATTCACACACTAAAATGTGGTAAGTGTTCCCTCCACAATCTAAAAAAGCCTACCAAACTGTTATAAACTGAACGTTTATTCCTCCCCCAAAATCCATGTTTTGGAACCCTAACCCCTCATTGTGGTGGTATTTGGAGATGGGGGCCTTTTTGGAGGTAATTAGGTCATGAGGCCCTCATGATATTAGTGCTGTTATAAAAAGAGACACCAGAGAGCTTGCTCTCTTTGTCTTGTGTGTTACCATGACAAAGAAGTCATATGAACATACAGTGAGATGGCAGCTGCCTACAAGCCAAGTGAAGAAGCCTCAGAAGGAAAACTACCTTGCTGGCCCCTTGATCTTGGATTTCTCAGCCTCCAGAGTGTGAGGAATAATTTTTTTGCTGTTGTTTAAGCCACCAAGTCTATTGCATTTCGTTATGGTAGCCCAAGGCAACTAAAACACAAGCATTGTAGGGGTCTTTCTGTGTGTGTGTGTGTGTGTGTGGTAGATAGTGAGAGATGCAACTTATCTTTTATCTGGGAATGATAATGTCATGTCATTGTTTCACAGGTGGGGAAACCAAGGCCCGAGGCTCTTGGTAGCCCTCCCTAAGGGGGCTTTCAGTCCTCAAGCAGTGTCGAGGCGGGAATTCGAACCCTGGGCTCCCACACTCGCCTCCCATGGCAGGGGTCCACACGGCTTCCTTGCTCCTCTGCCCGTCTCCCGCACCTTTTCCCAAACTGTTCACAGAAAGTGACCACCCGTTCGCCCAGCAGCCCAGGAGAGAGTCTGGCCGGTCCAGCACCAGGTGAGTGCCCGCTGGGCCCTCCTCCCTTTACAAAAGTGCCCTGCCCTTGCCCAGGGCCAGCGGAATATTCCTCCAGTTCCAGGAAGGCCTGGGAATCCTCGGGTGACAGAGCTGAGGGCTCCAATAGGCCCTCGTGGAGCTCCCGGAGGGCGCCACTGTTCTGGTCAGGGAGAGAAGGTGGGAAATCACCGAAATACCGGTAAGAAGACTAAAGAACAACCCAGAGACACAAAGATCTAGGGGAAGGGACAGAGACAGAAGGAGCCGGAGATGAAGAAGAGAACACAGAGATGCAGAGATGCAGACAGAGACACTCAGAGACGCCGAGACTCAGAGACTGAGTGGTCGCAGGAAGAGACATAGAGACACCAGAGCAAAGAAGATGGGCAGTCCAGAGCGGGCGCGTCTACACCCGCACTCGCCCTCCAACTGAAATTGTCAGCTAGTACCGCCTCCTCCTGGCAATCTAGTCAATGGTGGCGCGCCAAGTTGTCCTCAGCCAACCAGGATTCAGAAACCTCTCGAGGCCACGCCCATATTCACACTCCGTTAGTCCTGGGCTGTAATCTTCATGGCTCAGCCCTCAGACTCTGCCCACTCACGTGAGGTCAGCCCGGCCTTTTGCGGATCTGGACACATACTGATCAGCCTGAGCTTTGTCTTTGCAGCCCCATTCCCGGGCGCCACGAGGATGCCTGTGGCTCACGCTTTCGTTTTTCCAGAGGCCACCGAGCCCTTTGACTGAATACAGAAACGCCCACGAACACTTCCTACTTCTGAGAGGCCTGTCTCTTTAGGATCCGAGTCCTATAGGCTGACCAGACTGTGCGCGGCACGCTGATTGGAAGGAGCGGCTGCCCGTCAAGCAGTTAGTCCTCTCCTGTCTACCCCACCCCAACCCTGTCTTTCTTGGTGCATAAGGAAGGGGGAAGTTGCCTCAATTGTGGCGGGGCACGATTGTTGGTCCGGCACAGGTATCCATTAGGACTTGGGCTGCAAGAGTCTTCGAGGGAAGAGAGGAATAGGCTCAAGCCTTCGATTGGGTCCGGGGATGTGTCAGTCAAGGGATGGGCGGGTACAAACGCAATACAACGCGCAGTACTGGCCGAGGTACAGTGCGGGCAGGGTGGGAGGGAGGGGACAGCTGGGAGAGCCGGCTTCTCCCGATTGAGCCAGAAGGGAGGCGGCACCGCCCCCTACGCTCCAGGATTGGCTAAAGCGAGCCGCGCCCCCCTCACGCCAACAGCCATCGGTACAAGCAGTGGGCCTCGCTCGCCCCTGTTGGCAGCTGTAGCCAGTTCCGTGGAAAGGTGTGCAGAGGGGGCTCACTGAGTTCCCGACCAGATCCGTCGTAGACCCGGGAGTGGCGCGCGCCATCTCAACTGTGAGGGAACACCCATAGGCGGCGGGAGAGGGGCGCCGCGGGGAGCGAATAAAGCTCCGCAACCGGAAGTGTCTTCTGGGAGGTGTCGCACCCGGAAGTGTGGCAAATCCCCAGCCGCACCCGGAAGTGTGATGCTACCGCCGCTACGGGGAAGTAATGGTATCCGGCCAATTGAGATACGGGGTTAAAACAGGTGTTCATGTGTCTTCTTTTCTTGAGCCCGATAGAGTCCCCTTTTTGGAAAGTGTGGGAGTGTGCAAGTATTTGTTCATGTTTTTGAATGACTCATCCTGTTGAAAACCGTGGGGAAACGAGCAGTAGGAGTGTGTCCAAGGGGAACTGAATTCTATAAAGGCTTTTAAGAAGTTTCTTTTGCTGCTCGTCACCCTCGATTCCCCTCTCCCTCAGGGATGTGCAGATGGAGGCCGGAGGAGACACTGCTGCCCCAGCCCCCGGGGGCGCGGAAGACTTGGAGGACATGCGGATCCCCAGTGAGGAGACTGAAGACCATGGAGGGGTTCACGCCAGCCCGCCGGATCCCGAAGACGGGGGCCTGGAGGAAACAGGTATGTTCTCCCCTCTCTGGGGCCTTGGAAGGAATTCCTAAGGGTTGTCGCTGTTGGGCTGGGGGTGGGGTGGTGTGGGGTGGGGGGAAAGGTCAATGGGAGATCAGTAAGGGATCTTTTGGGGTTCAGGGGTAAGTTGCTTAAACCATAGCTAGGTCAGTAGGAGGTCACTGTGGACTCGTGTAGTTTAAATCCCTGAGGAATGAAAAGGAAGTCATTCGGTGTCAACAGATGTTCACTGGGGATTTGGTGTGAGTTTAGGTCACTGAGGAATCAAAAGGGGCTCTTGGTGTCAAAGAGGGTCATTCGGAATTTAGGGTGTTTAGCTCAATGAATGAGCTAAAGAAAGCCAATAGGGTCAAAGGGAACTATTTAGAAGTTAATGTCTCTGGGGATATGGTGTTATTGAAGTCACTGAGGTGGGAAAGGGCATCGGTGGGGTTCAGTAGGCACTCAGAGTATTTCTATCAGTGGTAGGTTGTCGGCGACTCTTTAGGGAACCAAATGTGAGTGGATGTTAATGGTGATGGGGCAGGCATAAGTGAAATTCTTTGAAGAGTCAGGGGATAAGTAGGAGAGTTTGAAGGCTCAGGTGTTAGTGGATGTGTAGAGTACGTGTAAAGGTGTTCACTGGAGGAATCAGTGGAAGTCACTGAGAAAACGGGTCATTGGGAAGGATCATTGGACATAACTGAGAATAAATGGGGGAATCTTTGAGGCCTTGGGAATTATTAGCAGGTAATGGCAGTTATTGGGAGGAGGTGATTGGTATTTGAGGACATGGAGTATCAGTGAATATCAATGAGAAAATGAGAGAATGTGCAGTCATTGAGGTTTTACAGGAAAATTATAAAAACATAGGTTGCAAATGGATAATAATGATGGTTCCTGGGAAGGGCAGTGGATGTTATTAAAGTGTGTGTGTTAATGGATATCATGGTGATTATTGTGGGGAGGGGAGAGGTTATCAATGAGAATAAAGAGGTCAGGGGAGTCAGTGGATGTCACAGGGGGGGTCCTAGGGCAGTCATTGGTCATTGAGGGGTAGGGGAGACACTTGGAGGTCCGTGTCAGCATGTAGGGGTCACTGGGGGACTGGTAGAGATTTGGTGGGTCCTCGGGGACATGGAATTAGTAGGGGTTACATAGGCTGATGACCCACCAGGGGCTCCCTTTCAGGATCCAAGGCCATGGACCAGCCACCCAGCCTGTCACCACTGCCCCAGACAGAGGCCCCATCAAGCACCTGTCGACTCTGGGGTCCTGCAGCCCCTGAGAGTAGTCCCATGGGTATCCCTGAGAGTGGCTCTGGAGGCCAGGGAGGGGATCCCAGCGATGAGGACTGGCGCAGCCAGCGGAAACATGTGTTTGTGCTGAGTGAGGCTGGCAAGCCCATCTACTCACGGTACGGTAGTGTGGAGGCACTGTCAGCTACCATGGGTGTGATGACAGCCCTGGTTTCCTTCGTGCAGAGCGCAGGAGATGCCATCCGCGCCATCTACGCTGGTGAGCAAATGGGTGGGAGGGAGAATGGGGGACAGTGACTGGGATATGGCTGGCTGGCTGGAGGTTTGTCTAATGAGCCATGGGTAGGTCTGTCTGTCTGTCTGCCTGAAGCACTGTCCAGCCAGCCAAGGGTGAGTGAGCATGTATGGATGGCTAGCCAGGGGTCTTTCTGTCATGTGGGGTGGGGGTGGGGGGTCCATCTCTCTGGGTTCTGAATTATTGACTCCCTGGCATCTAAATGACTAGCTGGCTACTTCCCTGTTGCCTGAGAGCATGACTGAGGGGGCTGTGTGGCTGAATTGGGTGTCTCTCTGTTGTGTCAGTCCTTGCTCCATGTCTCCCCACCTGTGCTCTGTGCTGTGTGTCTAACCTACCTGATCCCTCGGCTATCCCACCATGTCTCTACATGTGTCCAAACTACCCCAGCTTGTCCTTACCCCAGTCCGGGTGCCCACAGAGTGACTGTGTGGACTCAGGACAGGTGTGTGTGTGTTGGGGGGAGGGCAGAAGAGCCCTGCCTGTCCCCCTCTGGTCACTCCTGATCCATCTCTACCCACCCCTGGCCCATCCCTTCCCTCCCCCAGAGGACCACAAGCTGGTGTTCCTACAGCAGGGCCCACTGCTGCTGGTGGCCGTGTCACGGACTCCTCAGTCAGCAGCCCAGCTGCGAGGGGAGCTGCTAGCTGTGCATGCACAGATCGTGAGCACGCTGACACGTGCGAGTGTCGCCCGCATCTTCGCACACAAGCAGAACTACGACCTCCGCCGCCTGCTGGCCGGCTCAGAGCGCACGCTGGACCGACTTCTGGACAGCGTGGAGCAAGATCCAGGTGCCCTGCTCCTAGGTGCTGTGCGCTGCGTGCCCCTAGCCCGCCCGATGAGGGACGCACTGGGTGCGCTGCTGCGACGTTGCACAGCACCCGGCCTGGCACTGTCAGTGCTGGCAGTTGGCGGTCGACTGATAACAGCAGCCCAGGAGCGGAATGTGCTGGCTGAGTGCCGGCTGGACCCAGCTGACCTGCAATTGCTGCTCGACTGGGTGGGTGCACCAGCCTTTGCAGCAGGTGAGGCATGGGCACCCGTGTGCCTGCCCCGCTTCAACCCTGATGGTTTCTTCTATGCCTATGTGGCCCGCCTGGATGCCATGCCTGTCTGTCTGCTGCTGCTGGGCACCCAGCGTGAAGCCTTCCATGCCATGGCCGCCTGCCGGCGCCTGGTCGAGGATGGGATGCGTGCCCTTGGTGCCATGCGTGCCCTTGGGGAGGCTGTCAGCTTCTCCAATGCCCCATCAGCCAACACCCCTGCCTACAGCGTGCAGGCTGTGGGGGCACCTGGCCTCCGGCACTTCCTCTATAAGCCACTGGACATCCCTGACCACCACCGCCAGCTGCCCCAGTTTACCAGGTAGGCCCCGACCCTTTGGGCAACTGGCTAAGTGGAAACCCTTATCCAACCAAGAAGTTCAGCATCTCATAGACATGACTCAGGAGAGACAGCCAACCATGCTCTAGAAAGAGGAAACAGAACAAGTCTCTGTCTGATGATGGAGGCTCGACCTCAGACCTAAAAGTATCCCCCTATTCCAGTGGAGAGATGGGCCCAGTACTCAGGGAGTCCCCTAATTTGATGGGGGAAGCTTGGCCGCCAATCACTGAGAATTCTCAAGTCTAGTGGGAGAGGCTTAGCTCCCTGACTTACTTGAAATCCTTAGAATGAGAGAGGAGGTGGGGCAGCCAAGAAAGCCCTGGACTAACCATGCCTTTCACCTCCCTCCGGCATGGCAGCCCTGAGCTAGAGGCCCCGTACAGCAGAGAGGAGGAGCGGCAGCGGCTGTCGGACCTGTACCACCGCCTGCACGCCCGCCTCCACAGCACCTCCCGACCCCTGCGCCTCATTTACCATGTGGCTGAGAAGGAGACACTGCTGGCCTGGGTGAGTTGGGCAGGGCTCTGAGTGAGTTAATTCCCCACTTCAAGCCTCCCTTCCCTACACTGTCCATTCCAGCCATGGCGCCTCCATCAAGCACACGAGGCCTCCACCTGGGCTATGCCTTGCCTGCAACGCTGTCCCTCCCATCACACACATGTCTTCGAAACCCAGAACGACTAGTCACGGTGTCTGCAACCCTACACTAACCTCACCGTTAGCAACCTGTCCAGTGTCTGAGTTTCAAGGGGCCCCATTAACAGCCATCTCTGTGCCCGCTGATTCACAATCAGCCCCTCCCAGGTGTCTGGATGTACCCCACTAGCCACCAGCTCATTTTGACTCCGTGAGTCCCCAGCACTCTCCGAATGCTATGGGCTTGGTCCTATGCTATGCCCTCTACCAGGGGTCTCCCCTCCTGGGGTCTCCGCTGGGTTCCAGCTCTCATTTCCTATGAGTTTGTTAAAGGTCAGCCACTCAGAGAGGCCAGTGAAGTAACCTCAATGGAAATGGAACCTTCCCCCAGGCTCTGCCAGTTAGCACATATTTATTAAATAATTTATTGTTGTCTGTTGTGTATCAGGTGTTGATCTAGGCTGAGGATTATATTTTCAATTTTCTTTATCTTTCATTTGCAAGTAAATTTGGATTTCAAAAGAAGTTGCAAAAATAATATAAAGAATTACTAGAAAGAGGCCCTTCACCTAGTTTCTCCAAAGGTTAACATCTTATATAACCACTTAACAAACTCAAGAAATTAACATTGGTACAATAACAAGTAATCCACAGGTTTCGTGCAGATGCCACCGACTGGCCCATTCGTGTCCTGTCACTGGGCCAGAATCCAGTCTAGGATCCCATGTCGGATTGATTTATTGTGTCTCCCTAGTCTTGTTCATTGCGGAACAGTTTCTCACTCTTTTTTATCTCCCATGACCTTGGCACTTTCGTAGAGTACCAGCCAGGTAGCTTAGAGAATGTCACTCAACTGGGGTTTTTCTGATGTCGTATCATGAGTAAATTGAGGCCATGCATTTTTGGCAGGAGTACCCCGGAGTGACGCTGTGCCCGTCCTTGCATCATATCAGGAGGCACAAGATGTCAGTCTTTCCCACTGTTGATGTTGTCACCTCTGATCACACAGTTACAGTGGCATCCTCCACATTTCTCCAGTATAAAGTTAGTATCTTCCCCTTTTTAATTAGCAATACCTGTGGTGATTACATCAATGCCCTGTTTTTCATTATACTTTTATCCACAAATTTGCCAGGTGGTGATTTTTATAACTCCATCATTCTTTCTACCTTTATCGGTTGAGATTCTGTTGTAAGGAAGAACTTTTCTTTCTCCCGTTGTTGAATTTTTAATTTTGTATCAGTATGGTCTCATGGGTTTTTCTTTAATTCAGTGGGCTAAAATCCTTTTCTAGCAAATTGTCGCTGACTTAGCCAGGCTGGTCCCTGTGTCTCCTTGCCACATCCTTCTCACTGTGTGAGCACATCTTACTTGACATTCTCTGCACCTGTCCCGGACTCAGTCATTTTTCCAAGGATCCCGTGTACCTTTTAGTGGAGACTGGTATTTAAAAAACAAGTTATGGTAGGCTCAGGATTTTAAGTCGGTGGTTAGGGGAGGCCTCCCTGAGGAGACGGCATCTAAATGGAGAGGGGAGGTGGGGGCCATGTGAGTATCTGGAGGAACATACACCTGGCAGAGGGAAAGGACTGGAGGCCGTGAGATAGGACTGAACCTGGCTGTATTTGAGGAACAGCAAAGAAAGGCTAGAGTGTCTGGAACAGAGAGTGAAAAGGAGAGCAATGGGACATGGCACAGAGAAGGTGTTGGTGACCTAGTGAGGTCGGGTCTCTCAGGCTGGTGTGAGGATTGAGTTGAGTTCCTCTTTATATTATGCTCAGGCTGTAGATGAAAGCATAGGTGTGTGGAGCTTAGAGCAGGATCTTGTATACAATAGTTACTCACGGAATGTTAAATATCATTCTTATTGTTATCCCCAGTCTACAGATGAGCAAACTGAGGTCCAGAGGGTACGTACACACACACACACATACATACACACAGACACAGCCAGCATCACCCAGTCAAAGCCACTAGGTCCATCTGACCCCTCGGCCCAACAGAGAACCCCTAGCCCACCCATGACACAATAATAAAAGGTTACCTCCCTTAGCCCATGTCCAGGCAGCACCAGCTGGGACTTGCTGCCAGATGTATCTTCCAAGCTGCAGGAGGCAGACGTGGAGCTGGGCTGGGAAAGACAGGATTGTCCACGGCCAGATCTGGCCCATCTGACTCTGACTCTTCCCAATTCCCCAGGTGACCTCCAAATTCGAGCTCTATACCTGCCTCAGCCCCCTGGTGACCAAGGCAGGTGCGATCTTGGTAGTGACCAAACTCCTGCGCTGGGTGAGGAAAGAAGAGGACCGGCTCTTCATTCGCTACCCACCCAAGTACTCCACACCACCAGCCACCTCTGCGGACCAAGCTCCCCATAATGGCTTGTTCACTGGACTCTGAGAAACAGAGCTCCCAGACTGGGCAGTGCTTGGAGCAACCACCTTTGGTTCTTACCTTCTGTTTCCACCCTCGAAATGTGGGGGCGGGGGGGTCTGTGGCTGGTCATTGTCTCCCCGAGCAATGGGCAAGCTCTGAGGGCCTGCCGACAACAGAGAGATGGGTGGCAGCAGCCAGGTGAGCAGGCTCCTCTCCCAGCCACCTCATGCACCTCCCCGTCTGGGGAAATCCTTAGGCCTCCCTCTCCCTTCCCTCTGCCTCACCTCCGCCATTTGGATGGTGTTCCGGCCTCTGTCAAGGGCTGTCCCCTCCAAACGTCCTTCAGGGGTCTGCCTCCTCGATGGAATCTCAGCCCTGAGTGTCCAAGGCTGGCCTGGGGCTCTGGTGTGGCCCATCGGGCTTGTGAAATGGGAACGCAGGGCCAGCCTGTGCCTGGATCTGGCCTGAGAGTATTTTAAAGAAAAAACTGTTCATAAAAGGCCTAAAACCAACCCTTAAGAGGCTCTTCCTTCCTTTGCCCTTCATGTACTTCTTTTGATCTTTACCCTGCCAAAAATGACCCCCATCAATGCTGGCTGCTGCTAAGATCAGTAAGAAGGTGGTCTCGTGTCCACCTGTGTAACCCAGGGTGTACAGCACGTGACTTCTTCACGCAGGGGCTGAGATCCAGCATTTTTACGTAAGAGGTGCCCTTAGCTTCTAAGGCTCCTTTTACTCCTCCCTAAAACGGAGATAACTAATCCTCTCCCGTAAACTCTTCAATGAAGATTTGTAAACAGAAAGGGACTTGAACTCTCGTGTACCACCACACAGCACACGCACATGGGTCCCAGACCTACAACATGCACAACATGAGCAACCTAAAGCTGGAAAGACCACCCTAGAGTTTTGTCCTTGTGCGCTAAGCCCTCATACCGTGACCGGCCAATACCCTGGCCCTGCCCTTGTTTGTCTAAATTGGAGTCGCGGCCTCATGGTTGTGCGCATGCACATCGTCAATCAGGGCCGCTGGGTGTTCTGCGCTTGCCCAGAGTGGACACCTGACTATTCCAATGTGGTCAACTGATGGCGCGAGCGTGGTCTGCGCGCACGCGCACTGTAGGCCCTTCTACCCTCACATGTGGTTTTTTTTAGCCAATCATCGTGTAAGGCGCCCGCGCAAGCCCCGCGTTGGAAAATGGCGGGGAAGTTGGAACCTTCGAGCGTGGAGTCGCCAGAAGCCGCCGAGGAGGCTGAAGGTAGTTAAGGGCTAGTGGCCTGCAATTCTCTCTGGACCAGGACAGAAAGGATAGAAAGGTGGAAGGATTCCTACTATTATAATTATGAAAAAATGATAGCAGTAGGATTTTTTTCTTTTTTAAGTGAAATTTTAAGCCTAACTTTTAACCGTTCAACAGAGTGAAGATAAATAACGTGCACATTCTCATCACTTAGGTTAACTCTTGTCAACTTTATTGAATATATTGCTTAAAGTAAACAATAAACAGTTCAGTATGCATCTCTTAAACAAAAGGGGGGAAGGATGTTCTTCACAAAAATCACCCTGCTGCAGTCTCCCCTAAGAAAATCAGCAGTAATTCCCCGATACCATTTCGCATCCAGCCCACATCACCCTTTGCATAGACTCTTAAATCTCCTAATCGAAAATGGCCTCCCCCAAGACAGTTTCTTTTCTCCAGGATATTGACTTGAATAATGACACCTCAACCCCGAGTGTGGGGATTTGGCCTAGAAAGAGCCTACTGGAAGTTGCAGTTCAGCCAAAAGAAAAAAAAAAAAATCTCTCAAGGCAATAATCTTCTGGTCTGCCACTAGCATTTTTTTCATTATAGAAATTTTCAGAATGTACCAAAGTAGAGAAAATAGCATGATGAACATCACTCTGGTTCAACAGTTGTCAACTTTCTGCCCTCCTTTTATCTAACTCCCCTTTCTGCACACTTTTAAACTGCTATATTAATAAACAGATTGCATCCTGCCAGACCTTCCCATATAGACATCAAAAAAGCGATTATTGTTTATTGTCTTGTCCGAGGATGTGAGTACCATGAGAACAGAGACTATTTACCTCTGTTTCCCCAGCACCTAAAGCAATGTCTGCTTGACATATAATAGGTGCTCAGTAATTTTTTAATGCATAAATAAACTCTTTTTGATTAGAGCCACCCGGTGCATTCAAGAAAGGACAGGTGGAAATACAAATGGATCCCATTTATTTAGCATATAATATAGCTGCCACTGTGGTTTAAAAAAAAAAAAAAACTTTTAGTATCAACCTTTCAAATTCCTCAGAATTGAAGTTATGATTAACATCACCAGCAAGGGAGAAAGTTGAAAAATGTATCAAGTTACTATTTCTAACCCATCAAATTGGCTTTATAAAGGGAGGGATAATATCTAATATCGATGAAACAGCCCTTTCTCTTGCTTCACAGGGAGTAGAACTGATCAGTAAAAGCTTTGCTAGAGGCAGTTTGGCAGAGTATTTTTAGCATCTAAAATACCATTCCACATCTGCAGTCACTATCCTAGGTAATCACAGCGGGATTCATACATACATGGACCAGGAATGGTCACCAGTGTTGGTGATAGAGACAAAACACAGGAACAATCACAGAAATCGCTAAATCGAGGTATCCATGCACACTGTGGAATGTCTATATGATGGATTTTTTTTTAAGAGGCAAAAATAAAAATTAAATTCCAACTTAATTTGAATTAATGAAAATTAAATTTTAAATGGATAAGATCATTATATATTGACACAGAGTAAGCTGCAGAGGAGATCATATTTTTATTAGAGAAAAGCCATTTGGGATTGAAGCAATAAAGGAAGGGGTACAGCCCTGTGTGTGTTGCACAGATTTGTCTGAAGGCTAAAAGCCTAAGTGATAACTGTGGACAAGGGACTTGGGTTTTGGGGTGGTGCAGAGGTGGAGGTATTTTTTGATTTCTTTTTTGTTTTAGAAAAATGTAAGTAGTACTATATAATTTTAAAATATAAGGGTATAAGAGGAAAAATTTGAATGGCATCTGAGGATCCTATATTAATATTGGATCAATATTAACATCCAGATTTTCATGGTTATACTGCAGTTACTTGGTAGATTGCCTCTGTACGTAGGATATATATGCTGGAATATGAAGGACTAATGGGCCAAGATGTCTGCAATTTTATGGTTCAGAACCACTCAAAAATGGGGAATCTGGTACAAGGGAAAATGGGAGCATTGTGACCTATTTCTACAACTTTGTACATCTGAAATTATTTCAAAATAAAATATTTAAAAGGGTGCTTATACGCAACAGGCTGTTTTCTTTTGTAACATGGACATTTTTAAAAATTTTATCAAGGTGTCAGTTGGATTACTTAAAAGATTTACCTGTCACTCACTTTCAGTGATATTTCCTGACTAGCACTAGAAAGCGGTGGAGAGGAAAAGCACAGGCGGAGCTTTTGCAGAAGTGGTCGCAGAAGCCAGCTGTAAAAGACATGAGGACAGTCGGGAAATTGCACACAGTCTGGATATTGGGTGATAGTGCGGGATGAGTATTAATCTTGTCAGGCATGATTATAGGATTGGGGTCATCTAAGAAAATGCCCTTAAGTAGTTGAGACTC